AAAATCGACTGTATAAATTAAAATGGCCCACCCTGTATAATGTATAAACTGCAAAAGAAGTATTTTCATATATTTTAAAAACAATTTATAAATAACCAACCTTAAAAATCCTTACAAATTTACAAAAAATTACCAATTAAATGAAGCATGAATATTTTTTTAAAACAGAATTAAAAGTAATTTAATATAGTCTCATATTTCACAATGCAATTCTTTTCAATTGAATGATAGACATTTGAAATTTCTTGAGCATTGTATCGTAAAAACAGCCATTCAAAATTGATCATCGGCTCTACGTCAGCCAAGAGGTATAGTGTGATAGTTTTAATACTGTTTCGATAATACACAAAAAATATGTGTATATATCGAAAAATTTCTTAAAAGTTATTATTTATTCGATATTACTTTGGGACTATTTATTTCGCATCGTTATAAAGCGTGTAATTAAAAAGTTTTTGACAGTACATGTATATGTGTATAAAATTTTTTGTTAATAAATTATCCTTCGGGAACATTTTAGAAACTTTTCTGGTTTTTTCCATAAAACTTTCAATTTTTAATAATTTAAATTATCATTAAAATAATACACAAAGACAATACAATTCTAATTGTAAGCAGAAGCTGAAGTCACTCTAGAACTAAAGAACTGGTTATTTGATTTCAAAGATATTAAATTCGTTAATAATTATTTGATACACCGAAGAAATGTGACCTACAAAAATTATTATATACAACGTGTATGTTATATCATGCACATATGAAAATAATGTGAATTTCGAAAACGATGTTTCCTACTCGCTAGATTTCCTTCTCGCTCGAATTGCATTCGACATTTTATTCAGGTCGCTTGAAAGCTCAATAAGCACTCGCTCGAGTACTCGCGTTGAGCAATAACACCGATTCGCATCCAATCGAAGGCACCTTCCGTTGCGTGGAAACATTTTCTCGTCCATGTCATGCCTATCTGTCGACGTACTGTCACATTAGTAATGGCAATGTTACTAGATTACAAATTTTGCTACATTACAAATAATACAGAAACAAATTAATCACGATAAAGAATTGAGTTATCTCATCTCATTTAAATTACTTTAATATCATTTGTAATATTATATATATATATATATATCAAAACGAGCGTAACTAGTATACGAATTGAGTGGAAACGCTGGACGGCAGCGATGATGATACTTTAACGGGCAAAGAGACTTGCCGTTGCTCGATTACGGCAAACATTGACGTCAAATGCAATGTCGAGTACGGATTACGAATACATGGTCGAATACGGGAGAGAGCTTAATCTATTACATTTAATTATTCTCCATAATATCAATCGAGTAAGGTTTTTCTCTCCCTTCAAGATTTCTAAGTAAAATAAATTTAATTCTCGCTTGGCTGATAATTTTGTTAGTCGCAGTTACTTATAGCCATCATCTTTGGTAAATATTTGGCAATGCTTCCTCTCAAGTTCGCAACAATAAGCACAATTTGAATTAAAATACTAACTTATTGTATAGTATGTAAGATAAACTTCTTTTAATCCTAACTCACATCAAATTAACGTATATGTAAAATAAATTATACATAATATAGCACTCTTATCAAGGATATCAAGATTTATGTGTACATTTTCTCTCTCTCTCTCTCTCTCTCTCTCTCTCTCTCTCTCTCTCTCTCTCTCTCTTTTCATACACACAAGTATTGTTAAATAATTTATCATTCGAAAACAAATAACACTCGCCAAATTTATACATTTATCTGATACAATGCAAAGGTAAAAAAATTACGGAAATATTTACACAGGATGCTCAACACACAAAATAATTACGAGGAATGACTCTGCTGTTAAATTAGAATCAAATAAAACAATATTTGTGATTTACTATTCCGACTTACATTTTACTATATTATTAGCTTTCTGCATATATGTATGCTCGACATTTTAAACCAAGTACTTTTATAATAAGAAAATAATCCGTTCTGTTCTTCCACGATCATTTAATAAAGGTATGTTACCGAGTGGTTTTCTACAACACATTCTAACAAATAACAAAAACATAATATCTATTAATTTTCATAATTTAAGTACGACTTAATAATATTTCTCGAATCAACATCTTATAAAAAGATATTTATTTCGTAAAAGTATGTATCACAATACTAAAGCTGTCAAAATCCAACGTTTTATACGTAACGATTTAATATTTACCTAATCTAGAATAATCCATTGACTGTTACAAGTTTTTAATTTGATTGAAAATTTTAATTATTTTAAATACAATAAAGTTGTATCAAAGTAAACCGTCAATGACTAAAACACGCTATTTGATTCTTTGTGCATCGTTTTACTGTACATTAGTGATACCAATAACTGGGTTTAAGCGCTGGTCAATATTCTCGATTGTTGTGTAGGTATAATACATTTTAAGAAATTATACGAGAATCTTAGCAAAGAATTGCAATTGATGTGGAACGTTTGTTTGTTTAAATTTTCAGAAAGAAATATTTTATTATATTTTCGAAAGATGTAACGAAACTTTGAATAACAATTATGAATTTAACGTGCAGGATATATGTATAGATATTCCCTAGCGTCCATCAAATTTTCTTAATTTAAACCTCTTCTTTTGTTAATTGATACATACTATTTCTATCTTATATATGTATAACCCTGAAAGCTGTATGATACGGACGTAACTCACCAATAGTAAGTGATGTGAGAATACTATACGAGTATAGTGCATTATACTTAACATTCTCGTAGTTATGAAATGTCATAGGTATTTTAAGTATCTCATACAAGTTTCAACTTGTTTCAAGCTGTTTAATTAAAACGATTTATTATATTTTTATTTCATTATACTCAAAATAATCAAATCAAGTACGTATAATACAATCTCTTCCACTTGTATCTGCTTGAAATAAGAGAGGAGTACGCCGTATTAAAATTAAGAATTAAACTGATTCAATTATGTAAATTGTAAATTATCTATTATTTGTGCAGTAGCATGTATAAATTTTGTGATTATCTGGAAAAATGTATTTCTTATATCGCAAAGGTCAAGTGGGAGATTCTTTTCGCAAAAATATAAATTGTTAAATTCGTAAAATGAATCATTAAAGAAGCCAGTAGCAATTTCCAATGAGCAATGAAAGTTGGTATTTATTATAATCAGACGAGAACGCATTTTCTCTCACATAAGAAAAAGCGATGCAAGTGTTTCCTTTCAAGAAAATCTCTATGTGGAGAAAAAACAAGAACAAGGACAGGTGTTAAACGTTAAAAGTTCTTAAGTCTATATTGATTTCAGATATAAATCATCGCAAAAGTAAAGGAACAATAGAGATATTAACGAGAGTTGGAACATTTTATTCATACACATATATCGACATGTATCCTTCTTTATTTACGTTTTCTTTTATCGTTTTGTACTGTGTCTCAATTATCAAGCATCAGCTTATAAGAATACTCGATATATATATCATTATACGTTGTGTGTGACAGATGTAATAAGTCCTCTTACTCTTTCAGACATTATGAAAGTAGGAAAGTCTGTTGGCCCTTTAATTTAAATACTACAAATAAATGATACATAAGAGAAATTTAGTTATACCTTTTCCGTTCGAGTTACCTTGACATTATTTTAACCTTGTATAAAACTCCAAGTCTCTGATCTGTATCAATCGTAGGTACAACATCGATAAGTTTTCCCTCTCATTTTGCCCCAATAAATAGCGACTGCGACTTTTCTTTCTTTTATTTACTTTTACGTGAATACGAATCTCGAACTATCGCCGTAGTTTCACTTTTTCCTCAAACCGCTTGTAAATCTTATTATTATTAGGATATTAATTTCTTTTCCTATGTCTAGTAGATTTGTGTGAAAGAAAGTAACAATTCGAGTAAAAGTTTTTAAAAGATATTTTACACGAGTTTTCAAAAAATGAGAAAACAATTTAAGCAGTTATAACATTTATATTGTTCTTGGCTATAATCATGGGTGCAATCAATCAATTTTAACAAGATGGATCTTAAGAAAAATATCAGTTCTATACATGTGTAATTTGCAAAAAAGAGCAATAAATACACATTTTAATGTATATTTTTAATAATGTCACTATTCGTTATTCTCGAAAAATTTGCAGAAAATTGTGTGCGTTAACATTCTTTTCTCTTTATTTGTATTAATTGTAGGATTGTTTAAATGCCAATAAATTCGTTTTAATTAAACTCGCAATTACAATATTAAGTTGATTTAACAAAAAGTTGTGACAAAAGATCGAATATGGCACAAATAAAAAAGTAAAACTTGTTCAATTTATACATTATTATAATAAGGAAATTATTGATAATAATTTAGAGTAGAACATCAATTCACATGTTGTGTCCTCTTGCAGTGGAGAAATGTTGATAAACATAATATTAGTAAAATATTTTTCTTTTTATCATTTTTATTTTCAATTCAAGGCACCTGGGCTCGCCACGGCGGAGTGTGTAAAGGGAGTAAGATATCTGTAGTCTATATCGTTTCAGCACATTTTACGGCTGTTTATCAGCTGTCAAGGGAAAAGGAGTTAGTTAGCGGAGTATTTTGAAAATCCTGCACTGCTTTTTTATTCAGGTATATTCTGTAGTTATAAAGCGCAAGAATTCTCAGCGTGTCATAATCCAACATGGCTGCAGGGAGTACCTGCAGGAGCCTGAATACAACTAAACAGATGTAATATAACGAGCAAATAATAAAAACAAATTTATGGCATTCTGGCTTTTTATTCACCAGTTATAAGAGCTGATAAAATTTGGTATTTTTGGATAAATAATAAATGTAATTGTAGAGTACGTACACGTCAGGGCCATTATTATTCTTGCGGATTATTATTCTTGCTAAAACATCACACTCGTATTCGTTGGCGTTAGTCATTCGCTATTTAATTAACGAACACACATTGCATCCAGTTAGTTACTATACGCGTATCGGCAGAAATGTTTCAGATTAGCGATAATCGTCGATAAACATTACACATACACACACACGCACGTACACACGTTCGCCCTCTCTTTCACTTTGTAAAATAATTACACACAGATGGCATCAATTTGATATAACATATTTATATAGTATCAAAATAAATAGTTTCAATGCCATATAGGTTTTGTTCCTGTGTCAATTGACTGTATCGACTCACAATTCCGAAACGACGGATTTTGTACTTGTCCTCCATCGATCTATAATTACACTGTACGTGATGATAGTACAAATCAAGTATTAGCATCAACCGCGACGATCATTCCTTCTTACGTCGATAAGTTATATTTAAGGCAGAGATTGTTACAAAGCTTGTTTTCTCTCACACAGCTGCTAATGATTCTGTTACTTTCCGACAACAGCTTGGAACCTGGGTAGGCAAAGACCGAACTTGGTTTCTATACCCGTAAAGATGGGCAGAGCTACTTGGTAGCCACCTATATGATCTGGGTTTGTCGATCGAATTTCATCCGCGACTCCCATAGTAGGCACCTTCTGTTCAGAGCCGGTAGGTCGACTGTAAATAACACAAGTCTCGTTACAGATTTATCAATTAAAGTCTAAATACCTCGCACTATATAACTAAATGGATTTTATCATTTCACAAGTTTCTATTAGCAATAATTAGGCATGCTATCGATCTCCGTCTTCAATTTCGATAATGATGACTTGTATATAAATTATATTCTTCAACATTTCCGATTACTCATTGCAGACATATTGATGCGCGAATATCATTTTGTGACGACAAGTTGTAGAAATTTTTCTTATATCAAAATATATTTCGCATTCTTTGGCATTATACTCGACAGATTTACAGGATGTACCAAATTGGTTTTGATTGATTTTACCTCATGGATTTAATAGATGGCTGAATCTTGATTACAAAATTCACTTTTGATCAAAGTTACGTTAAATATACACAAATAGATATCAAGACGATAGAAGAATTGTCATAGTTGACACATTACTAATGTAAATACATACATTTGTATTGCGCATCGTTGAACTTGACACGATCAAGTCTAGAGAGAATACGTTCTTCGAAAGTGTCTTATTTGTAAAAAGTTTATAGATTTGATGTTAGATTTACCATATGTGCAATGCTGCTCTATGTAATATCGGCAAAGTTATAACAAAATTGTTAATAAAAGTGCGAGAGTAGATCGATGGTAAAAAGTGGAGTCCGCATTTATGTCATCGTATTAAGTTTAAAAGTTCTTAATAGCGGTAAGCGAGCACAGTTAATTTATACCAATCCGTTGCATCCAATTTTTGTTCAAATTACCGTTCATCTGCTGGCAAGTTAGCAATTTGTATCAATACATTTGTAACGATTAATTAGAAATCGTAACTGTTGTGGTTCAATTTTGGTAACGAAAGATATAAACATTACCATACACGTATGTACAATTAAATTGCGCTATATATCGCTTGACTACATTTTAGTATTTCAGTAATAGTTATTCAATCACGATTGATAAAATTTACATAGATTATCATTATATCTCGAGTTCTAGTATACTTACGATCCACCGAAATCAACCACAAACAGTCTTTGCAGCAACTCATACGTGAAGAGAGTGACGCCAAACTGAGGTGATGATCTGAACACTCGAGCTGTAAGAAAAAAAAAGAAGATATTTGATATTGAATTTTGTATACGTAGTTTTTCTCTTCTCAACGTGCACTGCTCCATATTCTTTGTCCAAATAAAGATTTGGGACGTTACGACGGCAAGCATATTGAAACAGGCATTAAAGGAATACTGACAGTTGTGCAGTAATAATGATAATTATACCGTTTTAATTTTTATTTTATGAAATGCGATTATACTTGACTTTATATAGTGGTTAATTTGATGAAATATCTATGAACAATTATTAACCACAGTTGGGAAAATGCTAGTCAACAAAGAATTCGAAATTAAAGGTTTTCGCCCATTCAGAATGCGCTTACAACAATGTTTTATTCTTGAATTAATAGTCTATAACTACTAGTCTTACAATATTAGATTAATAAAAACGCTAATATCGTGACTTGTCAGCGCGCTAACATTGTTGCGTGTTCTGCACACTTGGAAAATGGAGCTTGAAAAATTACATGTGTTATATTCATGTTATTGTATTATAATTCGCATACTTTTATATATTAACAAAAGAAAGATCAGAAGACAATTGGCAAGTGCCATTTTTCGAACAAATGTATGTATGTATGTATGTATGTACATACATATATCGGTATGTGTCAATTGAATAAATTACAATTGTTACTAATGCAATTGCACAAGTAGAATTTCCATTATAACATATACAATATATTACAGCATAATTAATTTATGGAATATTATTAAATCAAATTTTGTTTTCGTAAACATTTCCTCTCTCGATACAGCGATATAAAATTGTGAAGGAAACTTTATATCAGTTCTTTCCTGAGTCGAACAAGATGTAAAAATATTGCAAGAGTTGTGTGTACGATATCTAAATGATATGTCGTATTTTCGAAAAAGGGATGTACTTTTTTGACTTTATTGACCTGCATTTTCATGCAGTTACGGTTGAAAATATGACACGGTTGTAAATAAAACACGTTAGATTTGATAAACATTCTCGAGCACAAAGAGTAAGTACGTTTATTGCAGATTGGGAAAAATGAGAATAAAGACGTAAATCTTAAAGGAAGATGAAGAAAAGAGGTACTTACTGATAAGTAAATCGCCGGGTCATATGAAAGATGCAGCAGGGTTGATCCCCCGCGCATGCAATCGACCAAAGCAAAACATTTATTACTAATGATACGTTCGAAAATTGTAACGAAAGAACCAGTGAGTGTCTCGTTTCATTTCTACCTCTTATAGTAATAAATGGATTTGATTACTTTGACAATTATATTTAACTTGAAGCAAGGAATATCCTGCAATCATTTACGAAGGAAAGAAAAAGGAAACGTTCTTCTCGCGTGGCTTATTTATTTCTTTCGCAACAGTGATTTCACCGATATCTATCAAGTGTGATATACATGGCGTGTGCAAGTGTTTGAAAAACTTCCCAATGTGCATACAGAAAATATTAATGAAATATATCTATAATAAAATGATATACCTGTCGTGCCTTTCCAGAATGCTCTGGCACCCTCTTCTCTGTAAATTTTTCTCGCGCAATCCAATAGTCCGTTGTACGTGGTTTGGCCTTCTCTAGCTACGACCTGGAACACGCGCGACAATGTAATAATACTAATAAACGTAAATAAGACTAGTAATTTTTATATTTTACTTGGTGCTAATTAAAGTAAAAGCCTCTCTCTCACCTGCAATCTCGTTTTTATTACATCCGCAGGAGTGACCAGGGCTGCTGCAGGTACACCGGCGATTGCACCAGAAAAGAGAAGTGACAAAGGCGTATTGTAACCGCCTTCATCGGCCAAACGTGCTTTCGTGTGGGCATACATAGGAAAGTAAATCGCGCTAAACGGGACGTCTCGCAAGAAGCACGCTCTAGCACCCTACGAGAAAATTGCGACTGCTGTAAGGAAATGTCGCGGATATGTCGATATCTATTCTTTCTGTACAGTTAAACTAGCTCGACTAATTCAGACAATTTATCCTCCTTCTTCCATTGAGAAGTATAAACTCCGAACTAGTGCAGCCAGTAGATGTAGAGAATAGACTTTATTGTCATTACCCACTTTGTACAATCCAAATAGACCTAATTCCTTCACGACAGCCCACGCCCGAACTTTTGACCCTCCTGCAATCTCGCCAGCTACTTGTAGCCGAATTTTTACTATCTCTAGAGGATTGGTGAATATGACCTGTGATGCTCCAGCCTACGGAAAAGATGAAGCCTCTTGCAGACATTTTGTCTCATTCAACCTGTTTTATGCCTTGTTCTCTCAATTCATCACATTCAAAAGCATTTAATTAAAAGTTTCACAAGAGTACTTACACAGGCGCCAGATATAATTTCTCCGTACAGTTGTAAATTTCCATTTTTATCCATAAACTTATCTCTGACAAAATCGTTAACTGTAAGCTTGATAGCCTTTTCTGGTGCTACTCCCATTAATTGAGGCATCAAGCCTCTATAAAGACCGAAAAAACCTTCGTGCCGGATTACCTGTCAAACGCAAAAGAACAGCTTTATGATTAACGATGCAGAGAGTGTTACACGACGAGACTTTTCCATTCTAACCTTTTTACAACAATCAAAGCTATTTCTATACATTAGCTCGCCTATAAAAGATCCAGTCCTCTGATTCTGCATTCTAGTTTTGACCAAGTCGATAGGATATACAGCGGTAGCACCAACGGCTAAGAGAGACATAAATTTTCTATTTCTTCAATGTATTATTATTATTATTGATTAGAAATTCTAATATTAAATAAATATTTGCCTCAAATAATGCTTACAAAAATACGTATACTTTTCATATCTTAATCCTTAGGACTCCAACGTCGCGAGCTGGATTTTCGACATAAAGCTCTCGCGTATTTTCTTTTTTATATCTTTTCAATTAAAAGCATCTTTTATACTAGTATGATTCAATACTCGTATAATCATTATTTTACATTGTGTGCAGACTCGTTTTTGCGTCGATAAATAACAAATTTGAAACTTTGACGTCTAAATATTTTCTTAATGCGAAACTGTTTTTAACTGCAATTTTAACTGCAGAATCGAATATCTTCAATTTAAAGATGATGTATTCAACAACTGAATAATACTTTTTTTTCGACAATTTTCATTTTCATACTCGTTACATTTTCTTATAACAGATAGACGACGACGACGACGACGACGACGATGATGATGATGATGATGATGATGATGATGATAATGATGACGGCGACGACGACGGCGACGACGATGACGAAGATAATGTAACGACGTTTTCGAAGATTTCGGCGTATATTAATTATGAATAAAAGAATATTTTTGTAGACAAACCTCCACCGATGGAACCAAGCACGAATCGATATCCACTTTCGAGCATTTGTACAATAACACCACGTTCGTCTGGACTCTATAAAATAAAATACATACAAAATTAAGTATCTGTTTATAATTTAAATTAAACCTTTGACTGATGTCTCGAGTTAAAAATGTTTTCCATTATACGTACCGATACTGCTTTAATCGCGGCAACACGTTTTGTAATCTGCTTAAAATATTGCTCAGGTGTAATAGCCACGAGATCATTGTATACAATTTTCCTGAAATAAGGGACTTGATACATACATACATAATACTAAACTGCAGGAATAAAGCATAAAAATGTTAAGGGTACATGTTAATGAAAAGAAGGTATGGCGACATTGTTTGAAGCAATACTAAATAGTCCTGCCAATATAATTCATCATGTATGCTTAGATCGTATTGTATGTTTCAATATATGTATATATATAAATATATAATAATAGGATAAAGAATTTGTCAGTATGTATTGTTGACACATAGCGTGCAAATATTTGCGCAAACAATCATCCTAAGATAAATATTAAAGAGAATAAGTGAGAATAAAAGTATAACATTGTTAAATTTTATAGTACATGATGATCCGTAATACAAAGACGCACCCAAGCCGCGAATCTGCTTCGTCATCTTCCGTAGGTCTGATCCAGGCAGCGTAAACACGTAAACAAATGTTTTCAGTGTAGGAAATATGTCTCAATATTATTCAAATATTAGAAAATCATATTTAACTATGCATTGTAGGTATAATTAGAAATCAATCGCTCCGTAGAATTACTGTCAATTTTCATTGCCAAGAACGAGACATACTTGACATTTGGATGATGACGATGTGCTTGATGGTGCAACTTATAGTTTTACGTGACTTCTCTGTTCTGTTTTTTTTTCTATTTATCTTGTCAACCAGCGTAGATTGCTTCTTAATTAATAAACCCTCAACATTTTGTTAGGATCACGTGATCAAAGCGACTGTCCCATATCTCATACAATTTTCCAATGAAAGGAAAAATATTTCATTTCCGAGTTGAATATCGAATCGAAAATACTTACCCAGTTTGATGAAGTAAATCGCAAAGATGAAATAAGATGTCTACTTCCAACGGGGTTATCTGGGACATCATTTGTGCAGAATAAAGAAATTCCTCTGGCAAAAAAGTTAATGCTTAATATTTATTGATCTAATTGATCTAGGAAAATTAACATCGTGATCGAGATTAGTGTAAAAATGGCTCTGGTTAAATGTACATATTTATTATTAAATTGATTATATATTATTAAATTGAAAAGATCATTTTCAATGTTTTATCATACACGATTTTCTACGTCCACAACAGGGAAGAAAAGATTACCTTTTGTAACTTCCTGATATCTATGACCGTTGGTCGCATTTAAGTAGATACGTTTGATAAGTTCCATATTGTTTAGAAGAGAATTGAATGCCATAAAGTATGGAAAACTGACTTTTCGACCACTTTGGCCAGCACCAACCGCCTATGATGAGAAAACAAAGTTCGTTATGTAATGTCAAGTATTGAGAGATTAATAATTATTCATTTACAATTAGCAAAGTAGTTTCGTACATGTACTTAACTCCAATTTACTCATGTATTTATTTACATACCAATTGTGGATATAGAAAAAGAGATTCAGTTACAAATTTATTTATTCCAGATAATACTTACAGCAATTAGATTATCCCTCACATCTTTTGTGAGTAGGTGGCTTTTAATACTCAGCATAATGTCTTGAAAATCTAACGCTGAAATGAAGCCCGTGGCATCCTTATCAAATTTCTTAAAGGCTTCTGTTGCATACTCTTCATGAAAGTCCTAAAAACAAGTGTTTGGAGCATAAAATCTTATTGCTTCCTTCAAATTCGAATCATCTTCTACATGAGGACGATGTTTCTCGTAAAATATATGGAAAATATTTTCAAATGATTACACTTTACGACTCTTAAAAATATCTCGGTTTAGTTGTATATACATATATGTGACATTGTGAAAGACAAAATAAATATATGGCATCGCATACACATCTCATAATCATTGTTACTTGTTGCGTCATACTTGGCTCATTTCCTGGGCAAGAATAACAAGCGAATCCGCAATCAAGAATGTAACGGAACAAGATACTCACATGCAAAAACTGACTAAATTCTGCATAGCTAATCAGTCTTTTTTTATCCTTTCCGAAGTAGAGCTTGATAAAACTACTATCCATATTAAAGGGCATTTTTTGATGCAACACAGTCTTTCGCATCACCTCAACGAACTCGTCTGCCGAAGCACAATAATATACAATCGTATAAAGATTTCATATAAAGATGGAAAAAGAAACGTGTGATATTACCAAATGCAACCATGCCATTTCCATTAGTATCAAAAAGTTGAAAAGCTGTTTTGTATAGAGCATCTGGTACACAGAGAAGACCTTCAAATGCTTGAAATTCGGCAAATGATATAAGTCTGAAACAAAACAATGTCGATTATCAAAGAAATTTCTTGCATTGTAAAACAAGTTTTCTATAATTTCATAAATTATAGTAGTCAATTTCCCCCCTCCCCCGACATATATTGTATTTGCATCCAATAATTAACTGTATATGTATTGTACATGTAGTCTTTTTTTCAAATGTGCTATCGGTATACGACTTACCCATCTTTGCTAGTATCGACAATACCAGCGAGTAAATTGACAGAATCGGGATTATAATCGGCATCTGTGTAAAGGCCAAGATAACTGCGTACAAAATCAGACGCAGTCATGAATCTCTCACCATTCTTCTCTCGTGAAGCATACTGCAAGTTGACAAAACAAGTTATTACGCAAATTACAACACATGTGAAAAAATAATGAATAAGTAGTCTCAAGAAATTAATTCTTTGCAAGTTTTCAAGATAAATTTAAAGAAATTGATTTTTTTCTGAAATTTGCGAAAATTTGTCAATTTTTGTGAAAAAAGAAAAGATAATGGCAAATTTTTATTTATAAATACTTTGATCAAAATCTTGTTAAAACTTTTTAGTATATTCCTAATAGCTTGTTCTAGCATTTTTCATTTGTTCACCTGATTAAAAATTTCATGGAGGCGTTCGGTATTTGCACGCTTCAGGTACCCGGAACCCTGTAACGTGACACACGAAAGATAAATGACATATTCAACATTTAAAATGAATTTCATTGTTCTTTATCTTATACTTCTTTTTAATGTACGAATTTTATGTACGAAACAATATTAAATGTGTGTAATACCAAAGTATGAAAAAGATACATTTACATTTATATAACATTTATAGGCTTGAAGTATAACAAGGATAGCTTTCGTTTGCGTTATAGTAACTTTGTTAAAATTGATCGAATCTTCGATACAAAATCTTTCATTTGGTGACAACTGCTTTCTAAGTAGGAAATAACAAGCAGTATATCAAATTTTATTAATTTGTCCAATGTTTCAACCGTGTATTATATGTATGCGCGCTATAAATATACATGTATGTCGTATAATAATAAAATTAAAAAAGTTATTCCTCGTTCAAATGCTCCGTACAAATCGGAGATTAAAGGTTGAAAAAAATTCGGTTTTATGTTTTTAAAGCTTTTATAATATTGTTACTAGATTAAGAGATTGCATATTTAAAGGATATTCCACAAAAAAAAGCGCAAATATCTTCTGGGGCTAAATTCTTGAATTTATTCGCAAGAGAAACGTATATTCAAATTCTGCTCTTGCGTGGAAAAGTTGCAAGTTGTTTGGTTATCACATGGTTCTTGGCACCAATCAACTTGCAACTTTTCTGTAAGAGCAGAATTTGTGCATATGTTTCTCTTGCGAACTTGTGGAACACTGCAAATGGAAGTTCTTTAAAAGGCAAGTTAAAACTTCTTTTTATCGGTAAAGTGATAATAAGTGATAATAATTAAATGTAATATTGATGTTTTCCGTTAATTTAATTCCATGTGTAAGAGTAAGATGGAAAATGGAGCTTCGAGAGTATATCGGGATTTGAGATTTTGTGATCGTCCTGATGACGCTGATCGTGATGACATTATAGATCCCGAAGAGGATTTTGTGTATTACGAATCAGAAAATGTTTCCAATGCTGATGCGGAATGTCATTTGGGCGAAAAGGAGAGTGGTGCCAAATCCATACATGGTGTACGTATAAAAAAAACCACATTGCTTAAACAATTTATGTTTAATATCCGTGCTTTGGAAGAAAATTGTATTCTTCTCAGACATAATCGACCTTGCTACTAAAACTTAAAAATGTTCTCGTTAGACTTTCAATTTATGGCCTCATTTTAACAATAATAAATGAATTACATTTAAGTTATAAATTATATTGGAGGAAAAATATACAAACAAATTTGAAATTTGCTGTAAAACTTTGACGTCATGTAATTCATTCGTAAGCAAAAACAAATCTGTACTGCTATATAGAATGACTTGTTCACAACAGTTAAAAAATGTTGCTATAATATATTGTTCAAACTATACTGTAAATTTATGTTTATAAAATGTTTCTACAATATTGCACTGCAGTATGATATTGCAAGGTTACTGTAATGTAGTTGCAAACTTTTGTGCTGTATGGGTGCACGTGTATATGCTTGTAAAGTTACTCTTAAAAACCTAATCTCCTTTTTTAATATCCTGTATAACATCTCAAGTAGCAAGATGACAAATGATATCTTAATAACTTTTCTAACATTCTAATGACATACCAATGTAAATAAGATAATTGAAACGTCATTTGACGTGAATCATTATCTCTTATCTCGATTGTTGTATTCATTATCTTTGCTATTTGCATGTGATATATTGCAGCAATGTTCATATTTCATCCATCCTTTCATCTTCAATCATTTTTACTCAATTAAGACAGGCTAAGAAAAGAAAAGAAAGTGGCAAAAAAAGAGTAGGACAATTTGGGCGAAGAGGAAAAGGACAAAGGCGGAAGAAAGACGAGGAGACAAGAGTAGAAATAGGAAAGAATGTTAGGAAAAACAGGAAATAGGGATATAAGAAATAATAAGATTATTAGGTGTAGATAGTAACATGCCGAAAAGTATTAAAGATATGAATGTTAAATTATGAGAAATTGTAAAGCAAGCTCCAGTATAAGAGTTGGAAAAGAAAATATTGTAAATTATGAAGAAGAGAGAAAATGAGTGTTAAATAAGAGAGATTTGTTTAAAAAGATGTGAGGAAGAATGTTGAATAAACGAGATTTTCTAATTTATTAAGTGAGAGAATATGATAGTAACTAACAATAAGTAAAACTTGGTAAAAATGAGCACAATTCTCGTTGTCACTGTGTAGAACTATTGTACTTGGCTCGTTAGAACATGATGCAATAGGAAATGTAATCCTAAATAATCTGCGAAATTATCCGATCGAGAATGATTTGCCGTTTACCGCGAACACGCATACATAGACGTAATTCATGTAGATGAAAGGCTTCGCAATAGTTTTTTCGTTCAACTTAGCTTAACTTGAAATTAGCTGTAGAGAGAAAAGTTTATTCCATATGTACATATACATTTTTATACATATGCATAATTAGATGGTATTTCTTGATGATATACTACTGAAGAATAATGGTTGGGACAGTTGTTAAAAGTCACAATTACGATTCGAGTCACGTATTGCACGTCTTGTGATTTTGGCTACACGTGTACAGGTATGAATAACGATTTACGTAACGATTACGCGTGAAAATCTGTGATATAGGAAAAGATAATGAACAACCATGCAGGAGTTGCGTGAGCATTCAATAGAGATAAATGTCAGCGCTTGCTTGCTAACGTAACGAAAACGATAACCTGTCTGTATACGAGGTCGACCGTCTCTCCTCTTCCTTCTTGACGATTTGGAAATCCGGGGTACGCGACGTTGATATAATAAATGCAGCGTTTAGTGTGGAAACACCACGAGATAGAGAGAAGATTAGAGTCGGCACGCAAATCAAATGTAATATTTAGGTCAATTACGATTCTCGACATAACGATCGCAACAATGTTAATTCCATTTGTCTTATTGTTCGTATTAGATTTGCGCGTGTTGGGCGATTGAAATGTAATTGTGAGTCGTGACACGTCAATCGTAACTCGATTACACGATAGAGAAGCTCGTGTTTATTATTACGAGATTATGTGCATTAATGTGCAAATTTGCAGATACTTGAAGATTTCTTAAAAATTTGAGACAGAGAAAGGAAGGAGGATTATAAGAAATCCGTGGAAACGATCATTTTTAATGCTTGAATATCTATATAGCCACTACGTACAAAACGATTAATAAGACAAAAACTTATAACGCGGGTCAAATTTACATAATTTTTTTCCGTACTGCAAATAACAGAGATATTTCAGACGACCGAGTTAAGTTACACCTCGTGTAATGGAGCTAACGTCAGTATAGATAACGTCTGTAAACGAGGGCGGGGAGGGGGAGGGAAAGGAGGAGGGGAAGGAGGAGAGGTCTTTTCTTCATTTTAATTCGATACTGTTATTTTATTTAATTAACATTATGTTTTAGATTTAGCCATTTTTTTGCGCAAATACACACGTACTCTTGTAGTCGGCATGCTGCTATTGCTATTGTTACTGCTACTGCTGCTAAGCTAAATTGAGAATTCCACTTATTCGTTATCGACGATGGCCGACCAAAGGCGACGACATCGAGCGACGTTACGTACAGTGGAAAAATTGCGTGCACCACACACTTGTTTGCTGCAGGTATCTCTAATGTTTTAGCGTGCGTAAGACGCACATGTGCCATGCAGAAGCGACGGGTAACGAAAATGCGACTGAGCGGCGCGCGATTACCACACAAACGTCACGAGCAGTCACGAGTCACGAGGAGACTGAATGTTAACTGCTGATACGGGAGAGAGGAGACGAATATCTCTATTCCCCCTCCTGTTTGTTAATTTCCCTTCTTTATCTCGTTCTCGCTCATTGCTCTACGCCGGGATTCATCACTTATTTTTTTCTATACGTTTCCTTTCCTTTTTATTTCTTGTAACATGTTACTTTTTTGCATATCGATTGAATAACGTAGCTTACGTACTCTTAGGTTAATACAATTTTGTGTACACTCCATTTTATTGATTAAAATACACACACACACATACATACAAATTTTGTAGTTTTAGTATTTAGCGCACTTAATATTCGTAGACGTCTCATTGTCAGTCTCTTGTGACAATTAAATAGACATATGTATGTATCCTTATACCTAGTACCAAGAATATCATCAAAGTAAAGATTTCTTAATATTTATTTGGGGGAGGTCTTCATTGAGAGGATTGCCTCTTATTGTTACATCTATTATAATATATACAATGTATATCTATCTTAAGTAACACAGCTCAGTGTTATAGCAGTTATTTCTCAAGCAAGAAATTTATATTCAATTCAGCATTTATAACTCTAGAAAGTTTTAATGGGCAAAAATTCCTCTATGCTCGAAATATAAACTTAATCCTAAGATAACTTGTAGGGATAAATTGTTGTCGACAAGTTGCAATACTGTAGTGTCTCTTGGCAACAGAAATTTCCACATAATAGAATAAACAACGATAAAATAAAAATGAGAAAGAAAAGGTTTACATATATGTATGTACATACGGGATTGTATCCCTGATAACGATAATAATTTAAAGCAATATATAATATATATATGTGTTTTTCCTCTCTTTTAATAATTAGTTTAAAATTTTAATTAAACAACATATAATATACAATTAGTAAAATAATGCGTGCAGACCTCGTTGGGTTCTCCATTCCTCTTCTTCTGCATCATCTTTTCTCCCCTACACATACATACATACATACATACATACATACATACATACATATAAATAAGATGCAATAAAATTAATGCTCTTTCAAAATAATTTCTATATGTAAATTTGACTTTACTGTTAGAGAAACCGTATGTATACGTACGTATGTCATCAGAAGTCAATTTCACGTATGCCTTTTGCCACTTACGTTTATCACGCGTAAAATACCGCAGTTACTGCAATTGTAAATAACTTATAGAAACAGACATTTTTCAAATCAGATAAAAGATATCAGAAATTATTAAATGACAAATTATATCTATGTAATATATTTAAACTTTTTCAACTTGGAAAATATAACTATTTTCTTAAAGCAAATAGCCCGGAATGCGAATCACAATGAACATGACAAACACTAAAGTTGCCGTTGACGCGGTGACACGCGATAAGATGAAAATGTTGTAATTTTGGAAAACTTATTCAACATCGGAAGATAGGTATGGCTAAGTAGCTCACAATTACAAATTTAAATTCAAACCATCTCTCACTAGCCATATAAAAAGCCAATCATCCTCGAATCAGTCGAGTTATTTGAATCGCGGTCTAGACTTGACTGACGCGTTAACCCAAAAGCGATTCATCGCGAAAAGCTTGCGATGCAAGAGGGAGAGGTGGTCTGTAGTGGCACCATCCGTAGGGTCCCCGACCTGCTTAAACTGACTGCAAAGCTGTTACAGGAAGACTAGATATAACAACCTAGATTTATACGTGCGGTAGTAGACGCGCGCGAACCTACCGTTGTAATAATGTGAGTAAAATTAAATAATCGATAGAACGGTCAATCGAATTTATTCCGATAATGCGTATTCTGCTGTGGCCATTTACCGGTGTGATTATTTTCATAGGATCAATAGCAAATACGATAGCTGTTTCGTAGAGATTTCATAGCTTTAATAACTTGTGCGAAGAACGCGCGTAGGGAATGTCACATGAGTTCCCTCATTTTTATCAAGCATATCTTTAGCTTTAGATATTCTTATATTTACTGATACTATTAATTATTGTTATGGTGGAGAAAATACTTGGAAAGAATTTTTATCGCCAACGACAAAACAATAGAATGATATCTCAAGATGGTGTATCGTCTAACAAGAGAGAAGATAAACGTAAGAGGAAAACATTTATTAGAAGATAAATCTTATTCTTCCTGCAAAATAATCAACGTCTATTTACTTACACATTTTCATACGTCGCGAGTTAATACATCCTGTCGAGAAAGGAATAGAGACTTGAATCGACATAATTATTATCGATAATAGTTTTTTCAGTCAATTTTGTACAGAGGTTTTTTTATGCTTAAATACAGTCTATTACTCACAAGTTTTGGATCTTATGGGTTCTTGTCATGGTAAAATTGTACTAGTACGCGTAAAAATAAGGTCTATATCTTACATCTATTTAATTATAAAGACGATTGCATTATAAAGCCTCAAAGCGTGATAAAGCGCTACGATTCCCACTTGTACATAATAGAATTATGTGCAAGGACAAGTACGTAATCTTAAAAAAAAAAATCAAAGTTCTTACAATAAATTTTACATTTTCATCCATCTTTTATTTGTAGAATTGGCCGGTCTAGATCGCTGGCCTTAGCCTGTTTCTACTATACTATTTTCATCCGACTGAGACACGAGAGAAGGGAAAAAGTAAAATCGGTCTAAGACAGAGAGAAACTAGAAGACTAACTCGGCCTCATCCAACGTAATAATGTGCGTTATCGTTACAGAACAAACTTGCCAAGTAAAATCAATGTGCTAAATATAATTACTACCTTTTATTTCCTTGTAAAAGTTAAATCGTTGGATTCGACAAAATTTTGCTCCAATAATATAAAAAAAGTATTTAAATACCACTTTCTGTAAAACTTTTGATAATCTATCGAAATGTGTGTACCTTGAGAGAAAAGCAAATGTGAAAGCAGTCCCAATTATGTAATATGATTTAGTTGTACATTACTGCTGTATTACTTTTCCATTGCAAATCATTATTATTAAAATAATAATTACGTATGCGGTATATATTTCATCCTATAAGCTTATTGTAAAAGCAAATATACTAATATGTATATATTTGCAAGTTGTACGCAATTAATGAATGGGCCTTCTTGTCTATATGCAACTTATATAACATTATTCAGGAATTAATAGACAGCTCAAAATTGGAACGTCTTAAATATCGCGAGCACGAGTATTTCGAGTTCCAAGTGTATGTAGCGTTGCACTAAACTTTGCAGTGAGTTACATAATTGTGTTATCTATATATTTTCTATCATTTACATTTCTGTATGATATTTTGTTCACTATTTTTTTCCACCGAATTATACGTCTTTGACTTTCGAAAGCAGATTGATAAGATTTAAGGTTTATTTAGCTTATTCGAAATCGAGGTCAACTGATAAAAGCTCTGCAGGGATTTGGCAATTACATAAATTTGACGCAATGTAAACAGTAGAAAATAAATTAGTTGTATATTAATAAAAATTGTGAGAATCTTTTCTCCGCCAGTGATTAGTTGAATCCCATCACGTTTTCGTTTTGCATTATAAATGTTATTTTCTACTAAATGGTTTCAACACTATAATCAAGAATATAGCACATAAAAATAACATTAAATTTTTCGATAGGTGTGACTCTTTTTTCTGGAATTTGGATAACGGCGTAAAGTCTGATTTTCATTAAGTAAAACGTCTATGAATTTGTTATTAGAAATTTTTGCAAACAATTAACAGCGGACAAAAGTATCTGTCTTACAAAAAAAAACAAAAACAAAAGGAATTCCGAATTTCTGATTCTATTTTATTTTCAAGACAAGTAGAACATACAATACAAATACAATCAAAGCTTAATCATTTGTATAGTTATGTGAGATTTTCGTTGTAAATCGTCAAATGAATAGAAAATTTTTCGATTTTGTTGAAAACAGAAGCTCTGGGACCTCTAATTTGATATCTGAATTTGCTTCCAGTAAGTAAAAAGTTCGGAATAATATATTATGATATATCTTGTGAAAATCCCCCAAACTGCCAAAATATACACGTACACGCACACATATATAAGGTACATATTTACATATTTGTCAGTGTTTCCAGTTTTGCCAACGATAACTAATTTTACAATGTAATAAAACTTGTGTTAAATTAGGAAATACTATTAGCAAATTGAAATACAATACATAGTTCTTGCAGTTTTATTTATAAAAAAAAACTGTCTTTATCTTTATGCATGAAGATAAAGGATACAGAAGTAAATATAAATTTTTTATATTTTATTATACATACATATTTTCTATAAAGAGTAACACTTTACAGTGAACCTTGTATGCAACTTTGTCACGTTACGGCCAAGTAATGCGTAGCTACACTGTGTATGACAATTTTACTAGTTGTAACATTTATTTTTGTACCAAATGGATAATTACGAAAATGATG